TTTGTGTAAATTTCATAAATAAATAACAAACATTTCAGTAAATTGCAGAGTTTCAATACGATTTTACATTCGCCAATTGTTGTCGGTACTGAGGACAACTCTGGGGCTCTGGGGCTCTGGGTATGAGTGTATAAATCCTTTGACAGTTTTGCCAATATGCCAGTCATGACAGTTGGTCTAAAGACAAGCTAAGTATTTGTTAACGGTAGCAAAAAGTTTTCCAATTAAAAAAGTTTATACACCCACAAGTAAGTAGGATGGCGTAAACTTCATTGTTGTTGGAATGTCCTTAAATAGAAGATGAAAAAAAAGATGTATTTTCATTATTTTTGAACTTGGAGAATTGCAACAATCGAATCGAAACGAATTGAATGAAGTGTAAATGAAGTGAGTTTGAGTGATAAAATTAATTCCTTAATTTTGTTCTGTGACAGCAGAGATAATTGAAGACGCTTTTTGCACAAATTCGTTTAAAAATTTATTGAGTAAAATTACAACTTGAGGAAATATTTGTCAGTGAAATAATTGAGTCTTCCATCATTTATTCGATTAAGAAAAAGATTTCATTGTGAATCGATTTGCGGTACGACAGAAGTAGTCGCTACTGTTTGAGTTTAAGAAAAGATTATTTCAAATTAAGTACAAAGGATATTGAGAGAATGTGCTGCATTTATATAAAAGTAATTAGAAGTACAATAGCAATTTTTTTTGTTTGAAATAAAATAGATGAAAAGAATTATTAATGTATTATAATGATGATTTAGCAAAAGAATATCTAAGGGTTCAGTCTTAATATATGTATGAGCTATTGATAAATATACATTGTCACTAATATAAATATAAATACAAACATATATATATATATATATTATATAGTATGGATATATATATAAATGAAATGTATTAACAATGTATAAAGTAAAAGATAATAACTTCTCTTCTCATTAATTTATGAAAAGTAAAACATTAATGTGGCTTGTTTAAGTCCATAAAATTAATAATTTTTCTTTAATAATAAAAAAATTCTAGGTACTAATATACTTTTTTCCACATTCACTATACTCGTAAAGCTTTTCAAGTTACCAAACCATATATTACTATAGAAAAAAAAGAGACAATTGTTATATATTACTTCTATAATATATATCTATAATAGTAAAGCCATTAATTACTAATATATATGTATATATATGATATTTAGATTCAAATAAAAGTAAATTTAAAAAAGAAAGGTTATAAAAAAAAGTTTTAAAAAAGAACAGTTCTAAAAAAAGTGGTTTCAATAAGAAACGATTTAAAAAGAAGACTTTTAAAAAAGAACAGTTTTAAAAAAATCAATCTTAATATAGAACAGTTTAAAAAAAAAACACTAAAAAAGAACAGTTTTTAAGCTTGTACTCTCTATAAATTGCTAGAGTTTTAAAAAAGAACAATTGTAAGAAGAACAGTTTTAAAAAGAACAGTGTTAATATAGAACAGTTTTAAAAATAAACACTAAAACAAGAACAGTTTTTAAACTTGAACTCTCCTTAAATTAGTAAAGATATTTTTGATTTGCTTAGCGTTATTTCTTAAAACTTTTTATATTAACATTAAAAAACTTAATAGTAATTAACTACCTATCTTTCTAATACACATATTTTATTGTGAAGTAGATGGAAGTAGATGCAACTTTTTAAGCTAAGAAAAAATTATTTTTTTTGTTTCACACATATTGACATATTGACACATATTGAAATATAGCACCACATTTAGTAAAGCTCTCCCTCCAAAATGCTTTCAACACCTATTGCAATTTAGGTTATATCAGTAATATTAAATATAAATATAGACTAGCAGTCCTTCATGCAAGTGCTGTATTTCTTTCGAGACCACGTCTATATTGCGTCAAAGTTCTGAATAGGCTCTCGCCTTTTATTTTCGGAAAGAAAGACAAAGCAAGAATTGTACTAGCCTAATTGAGATTATTATATAGTCATCTGCTAAACCGTTACTTGTCGCGCATGAATGCGTCAATTTATAATATGTGTGCTAACATATAAAGTTCTACTTAAGTCCTAACTATAACACAACTCCACATGATGTTATCCAAATATTTTCATGCACACACTAACTGGAGTCCAATCGATTTCTCCGCCATGATTTGGGTTGACTTCAATTTAAATCTCACCTTCCTCAATCCATTCTTACTCCTAAACAATCTGCTCCCTTCTCACACTATCATCACTTATCCAGATGCTACATATGCAGTTTATTCAGTCATCAATGTATCACTTATTAGTAGAGAGGGAAAAAAATCAACAAAAAGTGGTTATCATACTATTAGAATACACTTTATATCAAAATATCGTAAGCATATATATCTTTTATACGTGTAAATGTGCATATAATAATCTTCTCATTACAATAATGACTCAGTTATTTTGCACTTTGACTTGGTAACGAAATCATCTTAATTTGGCAATGAAAAATCTGAGCCGGAAATATAAAAATTTTTAAACATCACAAGAATGCAAGGATACATAATCATTGACAGGCTCATTGGTGTCATATCAATACGTGCTGCATCATCAAACAGATATTGTCTGACATAATAGTGGAATAATTTTTTACATTTTCCTGCTCAATATTCATAGATTTCAAACCATAACTGCCTACAGTTTCTGCTCAAATGCCTTAAAAAGGATGTAAACTGCTTATTTGCCGCTTATTTCAATGCGGCACACATGTTCAATTAAAATCGAACATAAAATCTCATCAACAGCAACGCCAAAAACGGCATTGCCAACACCAACACCAACATCAACACCAAAACACCAACAACAACTGCAATAATCAATTTCATAAAAGCATGTGCCTACTTACAGATACAACATTGCTTACACACACAAGCACACCCACACTCTCGCAAACAAATTCATTTATACGCCTAGTGACATTATAAAAATTGCCATCAATGCAATGTAAGCAGCAGCGCCTAAAGCAATTTTTTTTTTTTGCACAGGATATTTCATTTGCATGCTTTTTACACTCCACTCTGCTGCTGTGTGCCACTGTACTGTACTGTATTGTGTTGAATTGTGTTGTGCTGCTCTATTGCGTTATGTGGTGTTGAAGAGTGCTGTTAATGCTGTACTGTTATGCTCTTAATACTGTTGTTGTTGCCATTGCCTTTGCCACTGTCAATGCCACTGCCACTGCTGGCATTACAAACGTTACTGATACTAATGTTAATGCTGCTGTTGTTGCTGCTGTTGTTGCTGGTGGTGCTGGTGCTTGTTTTTAATGTTGATCCTCATTATACATTTCCGCTTGATTAGTACGACAAGTGGCCGGCAAACGCGTTTTTGTCTGTTGAATTATTTTGATATCCTCTTTACATTCACCGTTTTGGCCTCTCAATACGCGTTTGGTATTAAATTATAAAATGTATTTAGTACTTTACTTTATGTAATCACACAAAAGCATTCTGTGAAATAAAACTCTTAAAATGTATTTTCCTATATCTTTGCTGAAGTGTCAGGTTGTTGAAATTACAAGATATTTTTTTCCTCCATCCTTTAGGGATTTGACGTACGTATCTGTTGTAACATTCGGAGTAGACATCCATCCTTTTGGTTAGGTAATGCCCTTAAACTTTGCCTTTTATGTAATCCTTATTATGGTGCTCAGCTTTATGGTTTTAATTTAATTCACGCTATTTTGAGCTTCAAAGTGTGTGATTTCTTTTGAATTAATTTGTAGCTAAGTGGAATCCTCATCCAATGGTGATGTTTTTTTAATTGCATTGTCCTTTATATCGAGTTATGCACTCGTATCGATACACTTCGATGATATTTCAATTAAACATTTCAGTTAAGGATGAGAACAAAGGATGGTGATATTAAGACAGATAAATTACTCTATTATTCTATAAGGTGAAAATCTCTCTATATATGATTATAACGGTTGAAAAATAATAATATTACTATTAATATTAATTAAGTAATTAATATGAACGTATTTGATAAATGATTGATATATATAAAAAAATCTTTAAATTTCAGAGTAGAATTTAATAGATGCTAGTAGGAAATAATTACTTCCACCTACTGGAATAATCAGTGTTATGTTAGGTTAGGTTATTCTGGCAAACCAAAAAGGCCACGCGTAGACCATTAGGGTCCATTGCATTATGAGATCAGAGTCTTAATTTTTTAGCGATAATGTGCGTCGCTTAAGATGCGTGTGTTATTATCGAATTTTATTAGAATTTCAACAGAAACCCCAGGTCAATACACTAATTATTGTTCTACAGTTCTTTCGGCTAGACAAGACAGTGTTAAAATATGTTAACTTTTTAATTAACATACCAAATTTTGCTTAAGCTTGAAAAACAATATCTATTTAAATTGAAAGCGTCGCTTAATTAAGAAGTATTCAGACCTAATCGAATGAATGTCCTATTTGTCTGGTTGACCATATCAATGTAAACTGAAATTGTTACAAAATTAGCCTATTTTTCGCTTAGTTAGTTTGTGTATAAACAATATTATTGCAACTGAAACAGTTAAAACCTAAAAGTAACTGTCAAAAAATATTTACATCCACAAAAAGTCACCTATGCCATTATGTGGTGTTCGATCTGTAGGTGTCAGTTTTAATGCTTATCAAATTTTTAGGATGAAATTGACTATATGAATGTGGAAGTTCTTATTAGAACTGCCACAAGCACATAACTTGTCCGTTTTTTGAACTTTGTTGTGCGTGAAACTAAACGTCTATTTTTCTCGTTTCGGTGTTATGATTTGATCACATACTTACTTACATGACTATAACGACCGATTATCGAGATTTGGTCTGACTCAACAAGTCTCTCCAGGCGTCTTTGCTGCTTGTGCATCTTCTGTAGTCTTGTAAGTTTAGTGCGGTTAGTGCTTGCTCAATTATAAGTGCGGTTAGTGCTTAATCACTCCACTGAAGATATGGTTCTCCCCTATAACTTCTTATTGTACCGCTTACCTCTTCAAATACTATTTTTGTTGAAGCATCTTCATCCATTCTCACGACACGATCAAACCTGCGAAGCCGCTGAGTGTTACTTCACTGAATTATATTAAAGTCGTGATAATGCTCATACTGCTTTTGGTTTATTTAGATGCGGTACTAATCGCATACTTGTAAAGATTCAAAGATATCACGGAAATCT